ACCTACACACACACACACACACACACACACACACACACACACACACACACACACACTCGCAGTACAATTTCCTTAATAGTTCCATAAATTACACCTTCCTAACCTGTTAAAAATTGTTCAGAATATTACCACTGTAATAACTATAATGGAAGTCACTAGATCCTTCCATTTCTAATGATGAACTTGTTCTGTCCTTGCTTCAAAAATCAAGAACAGAATCCTCTGAAACAGAGATACAGACCCCTTCCATTGCTGTCTTCCCCTCTAGACACACCTTTTGTTCCACCTCCTGACAACAGTGCTCATTTAAAAAAATAATCAATGAAGACCAAGCACACAGTACTCCATTTACCGAGACACGGACACTTCCTCGTGTGTCCCTCCTATATGGAGGACCCTCCCTTGGACCAGCACCGAGTTCAGGGTCATTCACGGGAAGTGGACTGCCATAAACACATAAAACTCAGCCTCCACAATAGTGTGGAAGCTGGACTTCTTCATCCTCCTTCTAGTCTCCCTGCTTACTGCGGATCTGCCCACCCACACCCTTGAGGATCTGCCCACCCACACCCTTGAGCACATTAACCTCATACCTGGAAATTCATTCCAGGGAAGAATCCAAATAATAGTAATAATAATAATAATAATACAAAAAGCACATGTAAGGAACCAGGAATGTGTATGCATGAAAATCTAACAACAAATACAGTATATAGATAGAAAACATTTGCTAAATAATAAAACTGATGCACTTCACACAAGAAGTCTTCCAAAGACTAGGGCTAATTTTTTTTGGATATGTACATAATAAAGAAGAGAAAGAAAGAACACAACTGCACACCCCTGGAATCAGCCACTGAAAATTGTTTTCTTTAAGCTGGCCCTGACAGCACAGGGCTATATCCTAGATACTCAGGTGGCTGAGGCAGGAGAATCAAAAGTTCAAGGACTGCTGGGACTATACAGAAAGTTGAAGGCTAGCCTGAGCTACTACATGAAACCTATCTATAAAAAAAGCAAAAGAAAAGGCAGGGAGGATGGGTATGGAAAGGGCCAGTGTAGCTCAGCAGAGCACTTGCCTAGCCTGTGGTAGGCCTATGGTTCAATTCATAGTACAAACGTAAAAAATAAAAAGTCAGAAAGAAACTGATTTCATCCAACACTCTGCGGTCTCTCTTCCGGCCACAGTTGTGTTCTGTCCTCTCTGTACTGTGCCCCCAAACCTACATGATGTCTTCAAAAATAAGACTTCACAATCTGGACACAGTGGAGCACGCCTTTAATCCCAGCACTCGGGAGGCAGAGGCAGGTGGATCTCTGTGAGTTCAAGGCCAGTCTGGTCTACAGAGTGAGATCCAGGACAGCCAGGGCTACATAGTGAGACCCTGTCTTGGGGTAGGGGGACTTCACATCTGCCCCACTCCAGGACGTCAATCAGCAGCTCCTAGCACACCAGCTGTATTTCCCTGTTACTAGTACACGTATTCTCTGTCAGCTGTTCAATATTCACCCCTCCTCCTTCCCTTCTTCATCCTTGTTTCCCTCCTTCCTCTCCCTCTCTCTTTCCCTCCCCTGCACCTTCAGATACTCTGATCAGCCTTCAGTTCGATCCCTGGTCACTTGAAAGTGGGCTGCAGATCGCCTGTCCTCTCCACACCTAGCTGGGCCCTCACTACCACTCCCCAGTCCCATGCATCTCCTCCAGAGGCCACCAGCACTGCCAGGCGGGCAATTCCCCCTCCCTTGTCCTTCCCTGGGGGGACAAGCTCTGATACTCTAGTGAAGGGTCCACGGCCACTCCAAGGACAGGCTCCCCCCTCCTGCGCCTCAGGGGCACTCTACGCTAACCCCGTTTTTAAAACAAGATAAAGAGGACACAGGAGCTGGAAGACCGCAGCTGACATTTCACAGATGCAGTCCAGCTCTGTGCTCACAGCATCCTGTGGGGTAGCCCTGTTCTCCTCACTCTGCGGGTGGTGAGACCATCGCTCACTCGAGCTGAGAACAGTCCCTGAGAATCTCTACTGCTGCCCAAGCCCTCGGGCCCCAGGATGCTCCCCCCTCCCAGCAAGGGGTGAGAGGGCTGTGGAGTCAAGTCCCAATGGACAGTGGGGCTGTTGAGCATAGAGGTCCCTAAGCCCGGGTTCAAGTTCAAGGTCAGCCTGGTCTACACAGCTAGTTCCAGGACAACCAGGGCTTCATGGAGAACAAGCGGCTAGGCTGTTCTCTTCCAGGCATTTGCCTCTGCCTATAGGCGTCTAAACCAGCACCTCCCTTCGGGCCAGCCAACGGCTTCATTCTTCTCCTTCCTTCCTGTGAGAACAACGGAATGCTCAACCTACACTTCCTTCCCACCCACTCCCCTGACCACTTGCAATTTTCAACCCCCACAGTTGGCTAGGAGCAACCACAAAGGAAGAAAAAAAAAAAAACCATCATCGATGACCAAGCTCAGTGGACTTGCTAGCCTGCCTCTGCGTTCTGACCATAAGAGCGCCAAGATGCTCTTCTTCGGTGGCTCCGCCTTTGGCCCATCCTGATTTTCCTTCTCTCCCCTTAGTTTCTCCATCTGCATTTTCCTTGTTCAGCAGTGGTGTCAAAAACAACAAACAAACAAAAATCACAAAATAAGAAACACTCACTCGCCCAGGAGTCTTCAGTCCTCAGTTACCCTGCAAGGTAAGACCCATTTTACAGCTACCAAAACTAACCAGCCCACACCAGCGTCCCTGTGGGAGAAACTGACAATACCATGCACCAAGTGCTACATATAAAAAAGATGCTCAAAGGCTAGGTGTGGTGTCTCGCGCCTTTAATTCCAGCACTCGGGAGACAGAGGCAGGCAGACCTCTTGTGAGTTCGAGACCAGCCTGGACTATAGCGTGAGTTGTGAGACAGCCAGGGCTACACAGAGAAACCCCGTCTCAAAACAACAGAAAGAGGGCTGGAGAGATGGCTCAGAGGTTAAGAGCACCGACTGTTCTTCCAGAGGTCCTGAGTTCAATTCCCAGCACCCACATGGTGGCTCACAACCATCTGTAATGAGATCTGGCTCCCTCTTCTGTGTACATAATAAATAAATCTTTAAAAAAAAAAAACAGCAACAACAACAACAACAGAAAGATACTCTAAGAACCGTGACTTTTATGTCCTCGTCTGTAAAATGGGAATAATTGTAGTATCAATCCCCATAGGCTTGGTATGAGGATTAAATGAGCTAGTATAGCAGACATGCTTAAAAGAGTGTCTGGCTCAAAGTAACAGACTTGCGATTATTTGCTAAATAAAAAAAGCAAAAGCAGACAGAGTGACTGCATAAGGCAGGATGGAAAGGTGACCAGGGGCCTTGTAAATAACCTGCTATACAATGTCTGGTCAGGCAGTTACCCACCCTGCTCCTAGGGACTACACTCACTATCAGGTAGAAGAAATTGCAAGAGTATCATCCTTCCGTTAGCGGGTCACATGTGTTCACTGTGAAACCTTAGAAATAGCAGAAAGTCCTGTGAATCCTCATCCCAACCCCCCCCCCCCCCCCGAGGGAACATCACTGCCCTTGGGAGACTATTCTCGCCAGGTGTGCCCTGCTTCCACAACACCTATCTCCAATCGCATCACCCTTGGGCTACTGCCAGCCAGGGTCCGAGGTAGGTCACTATTTCCAGAAAACTGGGGATGGCTTTGATACTGGACTAAGTTATACATGCACCCTATGAAAATCTCCCAACGTGCTAATTAGCATTTTGGATCCAAAGACCTTCCAGTAACACTGTCAGTGGTAGTGGAGAGACACAGATCAACCCAAACACAGGAAGCCTGAGGACCTGCATTCAGGTAAAGCCAGCTCCCTGCTTCTATCACAGAAAAGAATTTCACATGAGCCAGGGTGAAGCAAAGGTAACAAGTTTGCTAAGTGGAGATAAGGGATAACAGGACCTTAAAGAGAAGATATGCGCTTTAGCTTTAAACGTGAATAGTTGGGGAGGAGCGGGAGGGAGAACTTAAGCGTGTGTTCGCTCAGGAGGGTTCCACTCAGTTTCTAGCAGGGATGCAGATACTTGTATACCCTTGCTGAAGAACAACGGTTCTCTTCTAGTCTGTCCTCTTTCCCCATGGCATGCAGCTATCAAAGAACCCAAGGCAATGGAAGGTCAGGGAGGAAGGAGACGGCCCGACAGCCAGATAAGGCAAATTACCGCTGGCAAGCAGCACAGACTGACTGCCCCCGCGTCAGACTTTGTGGCTCAGCTACACTGCTCAAAGGATATGACTTACAGTTCAAAGATAAAATGAAGTTTTAAAGCCAGGCTGTGGTGGCGCATGCCTTTAATCCCAGCACTCAAGAGGCAGAAGCAGATGGATCTCTGTGAGTTTGAAGCCAGCCTGGTCTACAGACTGAGTTCCAGGATAGCCAGGGCTATGCAGAGAAACCCTGTCTTTCAAAACAAGTTTTAAATTTAAGTCAAAAAATAAAAAATAAAAATCATATGAGCTCATGAGCTGCTGCTCCACTTAATCCTCTTAGTGAATATCCTTTATATCGATGAAACAGA